AAACCAATTTATAAAGTATTTGTTTTTTTAATCGAATTTTGGTGGGGAAGACCTGAGACATGCATAAACGTGCGTTTCAGGGCCTGAAACGCACGTTTATGCATGTCTAAGGTCTTCCCCCATTATATTTTGATTTAAAAAACCAATTCATAAAGTATTTGATTTTTAATCAAAATATAGTGGGGGAACACTGGGACATGCATCAACATGTGTTTCAGGCTCTGAAACGCACGTTTATGCATTTTTCAGGTCTTCCCTCGCCATATTTAGTTTAAAAAAACCAAATACTTTATAATTTTGTTTTTTTTTAACAAAATATGGTGGGGGAAGATTTGAGGCCTGCATAAACGTGCGTTTCAGGGCCTGAAACGCATGTTTATGCATGTCTCAGATCTTCCCCCAACATATTTTAATAAGAAACCAAATACTTCATAAATTGTTTTTTTTTAATCAAAATATGTTGGGGGAAGACCTGAGACATGCATAAACGTGCGTTTCAGGGTCTGCCTGAAACCTACGTTTATGCATGTCTTAGGTCTTCCCCCACCAAATTTTGATAAAAAAAAACCAATTTATAAAGTATTTAGTTTTTTAATCAAAATATAGTGGGGGAGGATCTGAGACAGGCATGAACGTGCGTTTCAGGGCCCGAAACGCACGTTTATGCATGTCTCAGATCTTCCCCCAACATATTTTAATAAGAAACCAAATACTTCATAAATTGTTTTTTTTTTTAATCAAAATATGTTGGGGGAAGACCTGAGACATGGAATTACGTGCGCTTCAGACCATGAAACGCACGTTTATGCATGTCTCAGGTCTTCCCCACCAACTTTTGATTAAAAAAACCATTTTATAAAGTATTTGGTTTTTTAATTTCAAAAAAATGGGGGGAAGATCTGAGACATGCATAAACGTGCGTTTCAGGGCCCGAAACGCACGTTTATGCATGTCTCAGGTCTTCCCCCACCATATTTTGATAAAAAACCAAATACTTCATAAATTGTTTTTTTTTCAAAATAAGGTTGAGGAAGACCTAAGACATGCATAAACGTGCGTTTCAGGGCCTGAAACCCACGTTTAAGCATGTCTCAGGTCTTCTTCCAGCAAATTTTGATTTAAAAAAAAAAACAAATTATAAAGTATTAGGTTTTTCAATCAAAATATTTTGGGGGAAGATCTGAGACATGCAAAAACCTGCGTTTCGGGGCTCGAAACGCACGTTTATGGATGTCTCAGGTCTTCCCCCACAATATTTTGATAAAAAACCAAATACTTTATAATTTTATTTTTTTAAAATCAAAATATGTTGGGGGAAGACCTGAGACATGGAATTACTTGCGCTTCAGACCATGAAACCCACGTTTATGCATGTCTCAGGTCTTCCCCCACCAAATTTTGATTAAAAAAACCAATTTATAAAGTATTTAGTTTTTTAATCGAAATAAGTTGGGGGAAGATCTGAGACATGCATAAACGTGCGATTCAGGGCTCGCAACGCACTTTTATGCATGTCTCAGGTCATCCCCCACCTTATTTCGAAAAAAAAAACAATTTATAAAGTATTTGGTTTATTTATCAAGTTATTGTAGGGCAAGGCCTGAGACAGGCATAAACGTGCCTTTCAGGGCCTGAAACCCACGTTTAAGCTTGTCTCAGGTCTTCCCCCACCAAATTTTGATTTAAAAAAAAAACAATTTATAAAGTATTTGGTTTTTTTAATCAAAATATGTTGGGGAAAGACCTGAGACATGCATAAAGGTGCGTTTCAGGCCATGAAACGCACGTTTCTGCATATCTCAGGTCTTTCCCACCATATTTTGATTTTAAAAAAAATAAATTTATAAAGCATTAAGTTTTTTATCAAAGTATGGTGGGAAAGACCAGTGACATGCATAAACGTGCATTTCAGGGCCTGAAACGCGCGTTTATGCATGTCTCAGATCTTCCCCCTACATTTTTTGATAAAAAATCAATTTATAAACTATTTGGTTTTTTTTTTCATCAAAATATGTTGGGGGAAGACCTGAGACATGCATAAACGTGCGTTTCAGACCATGAAACGCACGTTTATCAAAATATTTCCATGTGGTTGTTTTGTGGAAAACCTGGTGAACGGTTCCTTCGATAAAACTCTTTTTCAATGAATTGGTGCGTAACTTCTAGAAATTGCTATGATACATGTTTTTGCTGATTTCTGATACCAATTACTGCTAGCCTTCTTGTTTTTGTTCATACCAACTTGTAGATCAAAAAAGCCAGCTTTCCGGATGCGTTCAGTGCCTCTAATGTGAACGGTACTTATGGATATACGGGGTTGCCACAAGGTCAAGACCAAGTCAGGGCAAACAAAAAACTTGTCAAGGCCGTGTCGGGGCGAGCAAAGCTGTGTCAGGGCCAGAAGCGTGGAAGCTTTGCTGGCCTTAGTGTTTATTTCAAAGTCCAGTATCAGTTGTTTATTGAGCGTTAACCTGTAATCTTTTCAGCGGTATGAGTCGCGAACGTTCAGTCAAAGGAAGATGTAAGTTCAATAAAGACTGGCTTCACAATGGTGAATCTAGTTTGTGGGTTGCTGAAGCAACGACTGAACACGAAATCAGGTGTGTGCTTTGTACGAAAAAATATACGCTGGGCAACATGGTAATTTAAGTTTTTTGACAGCTATCACAATGCCTTAAATGCTGCCCAGCTGGAGTATCCTGTTTTTGACGCTCCTCAACTCTTGCTGTGAGATGTCGGA